ATCCGTATATCGGCTGCCATTGGTGCTTCTCTTCGTACGAGAGCCCCAGGAGCTTTTCGCCGCCAGAAGAGTCCAGGCTCACACCCAGCAAAGGAGTCGCGTCCCTCGGAACCTCGTGAATCGTCACCGACGCCACCAGCGTAAACTCGTAGTTTGCAAAGTGATACCGTTGATTCTGCCCCTGCTGGCTCACCGGCCAAAGTGCTCCTCCGCCAACCCCCGCAAACTTAAAGCCGTTCGGAACCTTCTCCGCATTTGCCGTGCTTGCGTTGACGCAGCGGTACGCATCCTCCCATACGTTTTGGGTGGCATTGTCGGACAAAAAGCCAGCAAGACCAACCGTAGTGACAGCGGGACCACAAACACGCTCTGACGACAAAGTGGCGGGATCAGCAGGGGTGCAAATGCTGGACAGGTGGCTGTCCCAATTCTTCCAGGACTGCAGCACGGATTTAATAATCATTAGCTCGCCAACCAGGCGCGCAAAAACAAGGCTGTACACCTCGTTAGTGTTGATCTCATGCAAACAGTACAGCTTATCATCCTTGTACAAGACGGAGCTGTAGGCGGAATTTTCATCACCAATGGATACTTGCCCAACGTTATAAATGCGCTGGTTATCCGTCAGCCAGAGGTTCAGTCGGTCGCGCAGCCACTTTCCCTTAAAATTCAGCGGGTGTGTGAAGAGCATCACACGCATTCCTTCGATGGTCACGGCAGTGAAGCTGCTCTGACTGCCGGGCTGGTCCGATTTTGGTGAGGGGCCCCACACACGCGAGAGCGTGCCGACAGCCTCCACCCACGGTCTCTCCATGTCACCGGAATTGTACACCAGACGGCGCGCCCGGTCAACCCGGGTGTTTACGATGAATTTATTTTTCCACTCAAGAACCACAGGTTCGGAGCAGCCAAAATCGCTCCTACCCTCTGAGAAATTCCACGTCTTGCCCTCATCTGCCGAATAAAAGATCTTGGAAAAAATTTGTTTTTTCATGTCCGTAACCTGCACAGGGTACACAAGATTCCCATTGGACGCCACAGTGGCAACACCTGCACCGCCGAGAAATTGCTTTGTAGGTATTCCTTCCATGTATGCCGGGAAAAATTCCTTCAGTGACACGGGACTCCCCCATGTGATATTCGCAGTTGTCTTGCCGTCTGCAGTGGACTTCGTAACCTCACCAACGGCAAGCAGAATATCCCAGTCGCTTCCATCAGGCTGCCAAGTCCAGTAGTTTTTCGATTTATTGTAGCTTCCAACCAGGACGTAAAGCTTGTTGCCCTTCACAATCACTGTGGGATCCACCACACGAGAAACAGACGATACACGACTGTTCTTGATGGCGATTTGAGTCTCCCACGTCTCCCCATCGTCCACGCTGTACTTCACTACCGTATCAATAAAGGAGTTGTCATTGGATGTCGTGTAGCGAGCGTCTGCAATGGCAACCATCACCCCGTCCACATTAACAAGGGCGGGAAGGCGGAACGAGTGGACAACCCGCTCGGTGACTTTGCCCTTGTCTTCAAACGGCACCGTCGAATTCCTACGCTTAAACAGCTCAATTCGACTCGATTCGGGTGCCAGGGCATGAGCAGGCACATTGGGGCAAAAATTCAAAAGGAAAAACAAAACAAGCACGTAAAGGAGCAATCGGGGCATTCTTTTCACCTTGACGCTTGAATTTTGACTCGTGATTGATATTTCCGTGTGAAGGTAACGCCTGTTTAATTACGTTGAATATTTGCCTGTGCTGCTGGCTGAATCCTGAGCTTGTCTATATAAATAGAACGGAAACAAGAAGGGGACAATGGAAAGGCAGTGGCCTCGTCATACCCTCGATGTTTATCCCAAGTATATATTCCGATAACCTCTCTCAAGACACGGTGTAATCTGTTAGAATTGGAGATATTATTCCTTAAAAAGCGGAATGCTTTAGCTTCCTCTAGCCACAAGACTCCGCCGCGAGGTCGGAATGAAAGAGGGTGGATGGCAAAAATAAAAATAAAAATAATTACAAATCTTCTAGACGCTGTTGGTTCCTTGAATCCCTCAATCTCAGCCAAACAGAAATAAATAGAAGAAATGACGTACAGCGATAGACTATTTTTATCAAGATAAATATGTTAAATTAGATAGTCCGCCTGCCCCGTGAACATTCTCTTCACAAGCTTCCAGTGAACAGTGGTCAAGCACAAAAAAAAAGAAAATTAAGAAAAACACGGCGGCCTTCCCTTCACAAAAAAAAAAAAAAAATTCAAGAAATGGGAAAGCAAGAATAATTTCTTTGGACAGGCATCGTTGTATTGTTCTTTCGCTTTATTAACCCTCAGTGCAGTATTTATTTGTTCGGCGGTCATCTTTTTCCGTTATTGACAGCGCTTTTAATTCTTAAAAAATTAAAAAATTAAAAGATTAAAAAGATCCTGGAAAAAACTTTAGCATGTGACAAGCTTTTTCTCCTATATAAAAGCCGTTACGCCTCTCTACCGTGCAAAACGCTAGCCTGATATTCATGGGAATGGTTTGTCAGCATCATTTAAATACACCACAGTATCATTCACATATATATTGTGTCCAAAAATGAAATTGTTAAGTCAAAAAGTAATTTACAGCATAACATGGCGGTAAAATCGACTTCCATTAATTCATTTAAAGTTTATTGTGAGAAAAAACTTTTCATTTTTATCCGTTGACAACTTACAGTAAATTCAAACAGTATTAAAAGAATCGAAAAATAGGCATAGCAAACATGGCACGCCAAGTCAGAAACTCGTTTCTTATTCCCCAACGCCGCAAAATATGTGGTGTACTCAACAATGCATTTGGCATCTCATGCCTTCCAGTGGCATGAACAAAAAATAAAAAGCACAAATAGACTACTGAGACAAGAAAAACTTCTGGTGCTCAATCCAATTCGCTTATTCTATTGCTCAATTGAATCTTTCTATTCCTCACCGCCATACAGCATTCCTCCAGTGGTTATATAAATTCTTTATAATACGCTGAACCAACCACTGTTTATGTATTCCTTTTTGCGTGGGTGTTTTTGTGAATTTTTTTTCTTGGGTATAGATGGCACGTTATTAGTCAAAAATAATATTATCGACAAGAAAAAAAATGACAACGCATTATAGGGGAAAAAACGTGTAAACAATTGCCCTTGCCCCGCCAAAACGTTTTGTCCGCGCACAAGAGGCAGTGTTATTGTCATTTCAAGCCATTCTCATTCTGCGGAGAGTCGGATGACGTCCCTCTGGCACTTCATTCGGTACTTGGTTTAAACATACGGTGGCCTTCACGCAGGTGCTTTGTGTGCGAAAGTGTTAACATCAAAAACTAACAGCAAAGCTCGCGACGCGGGGTGATATGCTGGAGCACCACAAAAAAGTATGTTCCATGCATGTCGCCCTTCTGACAAACAATAGGAGAAAAATATTACACACACACAAAAAACAGCCACAGGAAATGCCGCAAACAGCAACGGGAATTGACGGGAAAGCCGCAACTCACCAGCGACATCGCCAACGCCCGAGAAGCCGCGCTTCGCCGCGCCATTCTTCCCTGCCCGTCCTCGACCATACGCAGCCACCCGCGCCCCAAGGGAATCAAGGCGGCCGCCTCCCCGCCCCCGAAACCGCGAACGCCCGCGTCGATTACCGTGGCCGCGCGCGAGCATGCGGCCAGTTATTTGGAAATCCTCAAATGTGGGTGTGGGTATGTTTTTATTCTTCCTGTATTGGGCAGCGCGTCCCGGTTGTGTGGCGGATTGCGTTGTCGATGGTACGTCGGGGCTCTGGTGCTGATTTGGAGGTATGTGTATATTAACTTTTATTGTTAATTTCGTTTATTCTACTTTTGTTATAAACTTTAATTTTGCCTGCGTCATTTTTTTGGGTGGCTTGTGCTTGTTTTTGGGGCTGGCTCTTTGTTGTTGTTTTGTTTTTTTGTTTTTGTTCTGCTGTTTTTGTTTTGTTTTAATGTTGAACTCCGTTTTGTTCTTTGAGATGTGTTTGTGATGATGCCGGTGGTGGAATACTCGTTTTTTTTTTTTTTGCTTCTTTACTTTTGTCTTTTGCCTTGCAGCTTGAATTTCGCCATGAACCTCACAACTTGTATTGTTGGGGATTCCATATGCGGTTCTTTGGGTGATTCCAAGCTTTTAGAACCTGAAGGTGTTGTGTTTCTTAGGGGATACAGTACCTACGAGGGCAATCGACCAAATGAAGTTGCTGCTGCACAGGAAGGCGGTGGTGAAATCATTGCTGCCATTAATGGTTTGATAGAGGTAACGGATCGTGTAGTTTCAGTCAAAGGGATATCTACGCGATATCATCCTGAAATAGGGGACATTGTTATTGGTCGAGTAAAAGAGGTCAGTGGCAATCGGTGGCGTATTGATATTTCTGCCTATCAAGACGCGGTGATGCTGCTTTCGAACGCAACTGAGCCTGGTGGTATACTCAGAAGGAGGGGAAGAAATGATGAACTCACTATGAGACACATATTTGATCAAGACGAAATAGTCGTTGCTGAAGTGCAACGCATTTCTTCCGATGGTGTAGTTTCTCTTCATACTCGATGTGGTGAAAAATATGGAAAACTCACTGGTTTTGGAATGCTTGTGTTGGTCTCTCCTGCCTTGGTAAGGCGCGCGAAACATCATTTTTTGAAACTTGTTATTTTGCCGGTGGGTATTATTCTTGGGACTAATGGAATGGTTTGGGTGAACCCAAACGTGGCACAGAGGGGGGGAACAGACAATTCCTTGTATTTTAACGAGCAAACAGATGTTGACGTGAGACGAAGTGTCGCGCGTGTGGCAAACTGCATTAAGGTAATGAACTTTGCCCGGCTCCCAATATTTGCAAAAACCATTGAAGCTTCCGTGAAATTGTCCATTGATGTGGGAATTGGGCCATTTGATGTTCTACATAATTCGAATTACGATTTAATAACAAATGCCGTCATGGAGGCCATAACAAAACGAAAACGTCAGAGATCATAAAACCTTTATATAATTTGTTGTTGTTATTTTTAAGCTTCTTTTTTTCGGCTTCTGGTCAAAATGTAGTAAAAAAAAAAAAAAGAAAACTGCTGTGTAAACTGTTATATATACTTCTATTTATTTATTTATTTTATTTTATTATTTATTTATTCTGGATTAGGTGGGGATAAAAATGAAAATCCGTTTACACAAAAGTCGTTTTTTACCTTCACTCATAGCTCTGATATATGTAATATGTTTTGCTAAAATGTGGTACGACGACAGCGAGAGCGAAGTGATGAATCAGATTCCGCATAAGCCCTCATATTTTAACCCCATGTATAGTCATACAGACACGCTTATTATGATTCCTTGTCATGGTGTCCTAAGATCTTTGAACGCTTACGATTGGCAGAAACAAAGTTTGTGGGAATTCGAGAATCATCAGCTTCGTGATGGTGTAAATTTACCTTTTTGTCTTGCATCTCATATTCGACGAGCATTACAGATTTTGAAAGAGAGATTTGATTCCTCTATATTGATTTTTTCGGGAGGTCAGACCAAAGTTGGTGCGGGGCCCCGTAGCGAAGCTCTAAGTTATTATCTTGTGGCTGAGGAAACCAATTTATTTGGTCTCTTCAATTCCAGTGTTCAGATTAGGAATGCTCTTGAAAGCCGAATCTTTACTGAAGAATTTGCTCGGGACTCATTGGAAAATTTGTTGTTTAGTATCGCACGTTTTTACGAAATAACGGGTCATTTTCCTGAATCGATCATCGTTGTTGGATGGAAACACAAAAAAGAGCGTTTTTTGAAATATCATAGACAGGCCTTACGTTATCCAGCGGAAAATTTTTTTTATATAGGGCTTGCATTTGAGGACGCAGCTCCCTTTGTGAGGGATCTGGAACCGTATCGGCTTGCTCTACCATACAGTGATGCCATTGCTCTTTCTTATGTTAGTAAGGATATGTATCTTTGTACTGCTGGGAAAGAAACGAAAAATAAAAGAAATCCCCAGTTTCGTTATCCGCCTTACGGGATAACTTGTCCCCCCCTTCTTCCGCTGCTGCGACACTGTGGTCCGCATCTTATTGATCGCAGTCTGGTTCCATGGAAGTAACTAATTATTATTTAGTCTTATTCTTGTACTTTAGTATATAAATATACCCTATTTGAGACAAACGATTCTTTCTTGTTTGAGTGATGTTTTTTGTTTGAGCTTTTTTTAAAGCATTTGATCTTTTTTTTTTTTTTTTTTTTCTGATGTGTCTTTTAGATGTCTTCCCCCAGCGAATTGTTTGAGGGTTTGAAAGTCGATTTTAGGGAAGAGCTGGAGGCGGAAGATATTTATGGTTCCAAAAACTCTGAAGGGTTTGAGCGACTCTTTGAGAGGAGCGAAAAATGTAAACGGAATGTAACACAGCTTTCTACTATTCTCCAATCTCTTATCTTTCAGGAAAACGAAATTGAGACTGAAGGTGAACTTGAGGCTATTATAGAATACATTGTGGGCACTGGTTTATATGGCCAGAGTAGCAGTCTTGAGGCCAAGGAGTTCAGAAAGAAGATTCGTGCCTCGTTTGAGTATGAATGGCATGAGTTTCAAAAGGAGAACTCTTTCATCTCCTCTTCTCGGGCTATGCGTACTTTGCCATATCGCTTTTCCCTGCCTTCTCTCGAAAAAGCACAGCTTGAAATGCTGACCGAGTTGAGTTCAAGAGGGATGAGTAACGGGAGCTTGGGTACGGTTTTGCTTCGTATCTGGTACATAGATCTTGTTGGTTGTACCTGTTCCACATTGCGGGGATTTCCGTTTGACATGAAGGCTTCAGATGCAATACTGATCACAATGGAACGCCTGTTTTTGATTACAAATTTTGACAAAAGTAAAAGCCAAGGAATCATGTACGTTTTCAAAATACAGGGACGAAAGGAATACGTTTATGGGGATGAAATATTGATTAATTTTTGCTACATAAGGGACAGTGTGACACAGCAGCGGGAGGTAAATGTGGTTGTTGAGCCGCATGAGAAGACACTTCTAACTGACCCTATATTTGTGCCTTCGTACTCGTACTTCAGCAAAACCAGTGATGAAAATCACCATGTTTTTTATAAAAGTGAATCTCCCGATGACATCTCCACAGGAATTAGTGTTTGGGATATTGAAGGTAAATTGGTAGTCAAAATTGGAGAGAATCTCTGTAATCTTGTCTTTACTTCAGAGAGAGCAAAGGAAGAAGGTGTTCGCGAAGGCGATTTATTGTATCTTGCATTGCTTGTAGAAGTTTACCATGGTGCCAAATTGGTTTGTCGACCTCAGATGACTAAGTGGACAGTGTGTAATGATTTGGTTGCGTCGAATGAGCTTACTACTTCTTCCTCTGTTAATTGGGGAAAGGAAACGAAACTGACATTTGATATGCTAGTTTCTAATGCCCCTCGAGAAATCAAATTGTGTATTAGTCTGTTGGCCACCTGTGGGGAACGCTTTTGTAGTGTGAATTCTCTCAGCGCCGAAGAAATTGTTCAAAAAGCAGAAGAGCGTATTGGTGTAAAAAAGATGGAGGAATGTCATCTGAGCCCCGTATTCTTTTTAGGGTATGCTTCTGTCCAAGTATTTGACTATATGGCTTGTATGCAGACAGGAAAGCTAGATATGCGTCTTTGGAGCACAAAGAAAAAGGCAAACCCAATGTGTCCTATCCCAAAGAATTCCAATAAAAATGATATGGGGTTTTCTTTGATCTTTCCCAGTTTTAATAAACCCGTGGTGATCCCGAACGTTGCACCTCCAGATTCCAAAAGGCGTGACTGGGAACAGCAACTTCTTGATAGTGATCTTTGCCTTGTTGGAAATTTGAGAGAAAGCAAAATTGAACAGTTAAGACAGTTAAAGCGAATCCTTGCAAGTGACCCACTGACTGAACTTACAACAATTGATAAGGTGCTTCTCTGGAAACATCGAGGAGAACTCATTTTGCGCCCGAGAGCACTTGCAAAGTTTCTTCTTGCTGTTAATTGGCTTCGGCCTTATGCTGTATATGAGGCTCATACTATTTTACCACAATGGGCTCCTCTTCAACCGATGGATGCGCTTGAATTACTAGATATACGATATGCGGATATCGTTGTTCGAGAGCATGCTGTAAAGTATCTGAACGGTATGACAGATTACGAACTCAAAGGGTGTGTTTTACAATTGGTACAAGTTCTTAAGCATGAACCCTATCATGATTCCGCTTTATTTAGATTTTTGTTGAGAAGGTCATTACAATCGCCGCATATGATCGGCCATTATGTTTTTTGGTACCTGGTTTCAGAGATGGAGAATACATCCGTTTCTGAACGCTATGGACTTCTATTGGAAGAATTGATCCGTCGCATGCCAGAAAGAAAAGTTTATTTGCGTCAATTGTATTTAGCTGATCAATTGTTTGAATGTGCGATGCGTGTTAAAGATGCGCCGAAAAAGGATCGCATTGACTGTCTTCGAGAGCATCTTCAAGGCTTGCGTTTGCCACGCCGCTTTACCCTCCCCATAAACCCGGCAATGGAGTGTAGCGGTCTCGATATTGGTAAGTGCAAAGTAATGGATTCAAAAAAATTTCCTCTTTGGCTTGTATTTAGAAACTATCAAGAAGAAGGTGATCCTTTTTACGTGATTTTTAAGGCAGGGGATGATTTGCGACAAGATTTGTTTACTCTTCAACTTCTTGAATTGATGGATTCCCTTTGGAAGTCTTGTGGGTTATACCTCCACATCATTCCTTATGGGTGCATTACTACTGGAGAGGGAGTCGGAATGATTGAGGTTGTTCTTAACAGTGATACTGTTGCAAACATAACTCGCAAATATGGTGGTGCACAAGCTGCCTTCCGTGAGGAACCGCTCATGAATTGGCTAAGGCAGTTTAACCGGGAAAGAGACGAAGTGGAAAGATGTCTCTGGAATTTTATCTGCAGCGTTGCCGGATATACTGTAGCAACATATGTTTTGGGTATCGGTGATCGTCACAATGATAATATTATGCTTCGCCAGGACGGAACCCTTTTTCATATTGATTTTGGTCATTTCTTGGGAAACTTTAAGACGAAATTTGGTATTAAAAGGGAAACCGCGCCTTTTATTTTTACACCAATGTACGTCTATATGTTGGGAGGACAAAGTAGTCCTATTTATTTGTATTTTGTGGATCTGGCATGTCATGCCTTCAACGTTGTAAGACGTTTTGGTGGTACGCTGATGACTCACTTTATGCTAATGCTTTCGACAGGCATACCAGAACTACAGAAGATTGAGGACATTGGCTGGCTAAGAACTGTTTTGCTTATTGATCGTTCAAGTGAGGAGGCAAGGGAACATTATCGGCTTCAAATAGCCCTTGCTACGAGCAACTTTCGTACTCTGTTCAATGACTATATTCATATTATGACACATTAGTGTTAAATTCATAGTACAGGGTGTAATTACTTTTGTTTTGTTTGTCTGTTGTCGTTGCATGTATTCATATTTATTTATTTTTGTTGTTGTATGTGGGGGTTTATTCCATTTTGTGTTTCTTATTTTTCTCTTGTGTATTTCCGTCTGAATTTCATGGAAAAAGAAACAAGAAATATGTTTGGGCGAGCCGTGATTTATTTTATTTTATTTCTTTTTCCTTGTTGTTATTCGTAGATCAAGATCATGGCTTGGTGGAATCAGTTAACGAAGCAGATGCTGCTGCGACTCTCAAAGCACCCAACGGTGCATAGGTACGCACGTCAAGGAATGAACTATGTGAGGGATCACCCTTCCGGCAGAAAAGTATCCTCCGCGATGTCAAACTCTTGGGTAGAAATAAGGAGCCGCGTAGAGTCCTCTACTTCAGCTTTCCGCACCTTGGGCTTTGATGGCAATAATAAGAACGGCGGGTACGCCAAACAAGTCTTTACCCTTTGGAATGAATATAAAGGGCGTGTGTTTTCATTTATCGTTGTGAATTTCATGGGGATTTTGTTTTTTTTTCAATTTGGCTCCGCCCTGTGGCAAATGTTCAAGCAGATGGTGTCAACTCTTTTTACTGAACCGGAGAAGAAGCTCAAGAAAAATGAGGGCTCTTCTCGTGCCATCAATGTCTACGTGGCCGGTGCCGAAGGTATTGAGGAGAAAAAGAAAAAGGTCATTTTGCAACAGCAGCAACAGCAACGGGAACAGGAGGAAGAGAAGCATCCAGTTGAAATGGAAAATGTGGACCAATTCTCATTTGTCTTTTCTGACGGCACCGATGCACACGCAAAGCAGTCCATGCTGCGTCTGGAACGTGATATTTTTGGCGACGTTAAGAAACCAGATTTCTCCACCTCATTTAAATTTCGCATGGGTGAAGACGAGGAGTTCAGGCCCTCTGCAAAGAAATAATGTGCTACCGCCGTCTTTTTTACATTTGTGTGTGTGTGGCGGGGCGCGGGACTGATTTTCCGCGGTTGTTTATTCACAGCTTTTGACGCACACGTCTGGAGTTGCGCCGAGGAATGGAAAGGGGGCGAGGCCGATCAATCAGATCTGGGAATATCAGGCGGAAGGAAAAAAATCGTATTGGTAATTTTATTTGTTGTCGTTTTGTTTTGTTTTTCCCAAGGAAAAGAAAAAAGAAAAAAATGAAAATATATAAATATATGTGTGTAATTGTTGAGGGCCTTTTTCCCCTCTCTTCCCTCCACTATATATTGGTCCCTCATTTATCTACATGAGAAGTGTAGATGTTATTTTTTTTTTTTTTCTTTTTTTTATTGTGAAGGGTTTTTTTTTCTTTTATTATGCCTGTCCCTTCCCATGTAAGCGTTGCGACCCTGCAGTCGGTATTACAAACCGTTTGCTCCACAGGGGAGCCAGCCATAATTGCCCCGTCCTCGTTTTTGGGAGAGCTGGACACCGTCGTCGATGAGGTAAAAAGACATGGAATGAAACTGGCAAGCATTCCTCATGGTGGAATCACTATTCTTCCCCCTGTTCCAATCAGTGGTACCGAACTCTTCGACTTTTGCGCAGAGTATTGTAAAGCTCAAACGCACGAAGAGAGGTTGGCCGTGCGTCATAAAATAAATAACCATAATTTCTTAATGCAGGACCCTCTTCTGCGGATGCCCTGCCGACAACTGTATAACCCGGCCGACTATGTGCTGCGTATAGTTCACCTCTGCTCAGAGCTTGTTTCTGCTTCAGAGGAAGAGTACCACGGGGCCTACGGCGTCGCACCACTTCTTCATATTAACCCTGTTCAAGATGTTTGCGGCAAGCTGCGCAGCATGTTTCAATCTGGCAGCCTTTACGTCAAGCCTTGGATTCTCGAGGAGGAGGAGGAACGACGAGAAATGGACGAAAGCAACAGAGGCGTGCTTTTCAATTCAGATTCTTTTGGAAATGGCCGGGGCGGCAGCAGCATCAGCAGCAGTGAACGGAGCGTCGATGAGAACGACGTGGCAGACGAGGATCTAACCGGAGAGGAGGTTGTTGACAACGCGACGGATACAGTGGTGGAGTACCTCTCTGAAAAGGACTTTGACGTGGTAACGGAGAGCGGTATATTCTATGATGATTCTGGGGAACGGGTGCATGCCATTTATCTCCGAGGTGGAATTAAGAAGGAACTCTGTCAGCGGGCCGCTATTGCCATTGAAGAAGCTGCGACGACCAAAAATCTGCGCAAAGCCGTCAATGGAGGGAAAACGAACCCGGAAACGGGTATTGTGGGCTACTATGACTACTTGAATAATCCCACACAGCGCAAGTGCCGTGAGACAGAGTTTACACGAAAAAATTGGAGTTCTGTAGTCGACTCCTGCGAGCCATTTCTTGTGGCACTAAATAAACTTTACAGCGAGTGTGCCCCGACGCATTACAAACTTCAACGCATTGCTATACCGCACCATTATCAATTGTTTAATACGGTTTTTAGCACAATGACGGTTAATCGAAATTTTCGAACTGCCGTTCACACGGATCGGGGTGACTTCCGCAGTGGACTGGCCGCTCTCTGCGTGATAGACGGGGTCTTTGAAGGGTGCCATTTGGCGATTAAAAAGTTGGGGAAGGCATTTCGTCTTGAAACAGGGGATGTTTTGTTCTTTGATACTTCCCTGGAACACGGGAACACCGAGGTCCACAACTTTGATTATTGCTGGAAGCGGGTGAGCGTTGTCTGCTACCTGCGAAATGGCCTCATGTCTCAAATATGCGAGATGGAACGACGCCGATGGCTTCAGAAGCAGATGTTGAAGCAACGTCTTCTGGATAGGAGTCGCCAGAGTGTTATAAACCTAAATGCCACGGACCCAAATCTTCCTCCCATATACCTTCCTGGAAGATTGCTGGAGGTTCTCTCCCCCGTTCAACAAGCCGCTCTTGGATTTGTTGTGGATCGACTTAGCAAAGGCAACGGGTGTGTAATTGCGCTGACGATGGGATTGGGAAAAACGTTGCTTTCCCTGGCACTGTGCTATTCGCATATGTATGACCAAAATCCACGGGATGTACTTATTTTGGCACCGAAGATTGTTCTTACTCATTGGACAGGAGAAAAGCAAAAGTGGGAAAAGTACGGCCTTGTTTTTTCACATTTTGTCGTCTCCGATGGGACGGACTCCGTTTCCTTTGAAATCGCACTCAAGCGATATAAACAACAGCTCAATGGGGAGTTGCCCAGAACCAGTCATGTGTTTGTCATCAACCCCGAGTACATCCGGACGGTCCTGAAAAAACTCACCGGATTTCGTCCAAGTCTTATTATTGTCGATGAGGGTCACCGTGTGTCCTCCAAGGGAAGCAAATTGAAGGACTGGTTGGAGGGACTGCGGTGCACGGCGCGTGTGATACTCTCTGGAACGCCTGTGCAGAACAATGCGGAGGAATTATACCGACTCATCGGCTGGATAAACAGCGACGTTCATTCTGTTCTACCCCCACGTGTGTTTACGGATCTTGCGGGGACTATCAATCGTTACATTAATGGAGATGATTCGGCACTTGCCGCAGCCGTGTCTGCGCAACGTTATATTCAAGAGTGGATGTGTTCCTATGTTTTTAGCGTCATGAAGACAGACCTTCCACCACTTAATGACTATATTATTATTTGTGGATTTTCCAGCATTCAAAGGAAAATGCTTGAGGATCATTTTGGGATGGAAGGGATCGATGGGCTGACAAGCATAAAGGCATCTGAGCACCGTCCATATCACCTCTCCACACATCCGCTTTGTTTTTTGGGATTTATATCCGGAGTCTATAAATCGCTTAATGGAAATCATAAGTTGACGCCTGAGGCGGAGGAAGAGCTTGAGTCGCAGGAGTATGCATCGCAGCTATATTCACTGACCGAAGATGACATTGGACTGATTGATGAGTGTTTATCGCTGGTGAACTCTGGTTTCCTAACGGAGTTTGTGGGCCTAAGTGGGAAGATGACTGTTCTCATTTCAATATTGCATTCAATTCGTGAAAAAAAGGAGAAGGCCATCATCTTCTCTCAATACGTCGGATCACAAGACTTTATCTCGCGAACATTGACTTCATTTGACATCGTCTCCTCCACCATCCGCGGAAGGGACTGTCATGAACGTCGAAGACGAACAATAGAGAAATTTAGAGAGGATGAGAAAATTACTTGCCTTCTCTTATCAACTCAAATTGGCGCGTATGGCCTTGACTTCACTGCCGCAAACCACGTTATCCTGTGGGACAGTTGGTGGAACCCTCAAGTGGAGTCGCAGGCCATCGCACGAGCATACAGAAGGAATCAAACACGAGCAGTCATTGTTTACCGTCTTGCCTCGGAGTTCGAGGATACAATTGTCCTCAAAACGCAGATAAGGAAACTGGCACTATTCAGATGTATTATGAATGAGGAAGCATCACGTGCGGTACCTCCTGAAGAGCTGCTGGATTGCGTTGACACCGAAGAAGATGAAGGAAGGCGCTTTTTATGGCGTTCCCTTAAGAAGAGTTACCTGGAGGGTGGTGCACCGGCGGTATCCAAGGTATTCCGTCATGGCGACACGGTGAGAAGTGAATCATGGTCTTAATAACTGCATATATTTGGTTGTTGTTTTTTATTCTTTTAAGATGTGTTTGTGTGTCATTTTGGCACGGTTTCCTCCCATAATCTTATATTGGTGTTGTGTTTGTTTTACTGTATAATTAACACGTGAACGGAGAAAATAAACGCAAATAAATAAATATGCGCTTCATATTTGCTCTTCGTGTTTTTTTCCAATGATAATGTTAGGGTTTTCGGTACGCCTTCTTGCCTTTCATTGGACTGACCTCTGTCATGCATGCAAGAATCTCTCTCTCTCTCTCTCCTTTTTTTTTTTTTGTGTGTGTGTTTTGTTTTGGTTAACTATACATAGTATTTTTGCTGCTGTTTTTTTTTTTTTTTTTTTTTTTTTTTTGCATTTACGGAAGCCAAGTTGCAGACCGAACATGATGATCAGCTGCAGGTGTACATGGACGGTGCCATTTGAAGACTGAAGCATGGGAACAATGACGTTGCTGGATGTAAAGCCAATGCCGCCGCAGGCCACTCTGGAGCGGGAGAAGAGCATTTGCCTGACCCAAGAACTTCAGACGTTTGTTGTTTATGAAGTCGAGCTGGGCTTCTAGAAACGTTGAGGCATGAGCGTTTGACGAACGAAAGGAAATGGACCGTTTCTTGCGGGAAACACTGGTCAAGACAAAAGCAGAGCTCCTTAATAAAGCGGCGCTGTGGGAGCTCTGGTGGCGCTTAAGAAAGTAGAAGGTTATGATACAAATTAAGAGCCCCTTGTTTTTTTTTTTTTTTTTTTTTTTTGTGGGTGTCTGTGGGTACCCGAAAAATTGGGACGATGCCGTAGCCCCTTTTTGTGAAATGTTCATTGGCTTTGATCAGCGGCTTACCAGGGAGATGCAACTTTGACGCGAAGAGAGGGGAGACAAATGGATGAGACGCTTGAATGAAACCTTGCTCTCACTGTCCAGAAGTGCAGGCTTTAGAGAGTGACGGCGAGGAGAGGGGAACTCTGCTGCCGTACTGAATAGGTGGGGGGGTAAGGGTTATCTACCTATAAGTTTTGTAGGGTGTTTTGCTTTCTTGTTGTTCTCGTTGTTGGTATTCTTTTGTGAGCTTCCCCCTCATCTCACCATTGCTCACCTGATGATTTGTTACTCCTGCCCATGTCATTTCATGCATCCATTCTCATCCCTGTAACGGACAGTGGAACCCCTTTAACTTGCTGGGGATTGTTTGCATTTACTATTACCACTATTATTGATATTATTATTTGCTTGTTTCATTGCTTTCTCATTATAAACAGTAACACAACAACGGAAAACTAAAGAAAGAAATGGAGCAATGCCCCTTAGCCGTATGGTGAGGACCCGCCTACGCTTCAAGCTGCATGTGGTAAGAAGACGGTTACGTAAGCGGAGAGTGATACAAGCAGTTCCAAAATTGGACGCAAAGAAATTGCGGTCGTGTTCTTTGTTTGCTAAGTGGCCTTTAGAGGCCCTGTCCGATCTACGCCGGCGGATGTTGTGGGAAGTCCACCTTAAAGGGGAGACGATCCTGTATGGCGGGGAGCCGTGTAGCGTGTCGTCGTTGTTTTGGATCGCATCGGGAAAACTCTCGGAGGTGCCGAACAGGCGTGAGAAAAGTGGGACAAGGCGGCCTTCGAATAAGGAGGAGGAGGGTGTGGCCTCCATGGAGACGGTTGGGTCCGCAGAGCACTCCTCTGTTTCTCCGCACGTCGAGTTTGACCAAACTCTCGACACCTTCAGCGCTGGCCAGTTTGCTGCGGGAGAGCGTCTTTTTCTAGGCGCGACTTATCATAGAACCATGCGCTGTGAAAGCGACGTCACAGGTTTTGCTGTGAGTTTCCGCACCGTTCAAAAAATACAGAGAAAATGGGGTGTGCCACGCGAGGCCTCTGTATCCGCAGCGAAAGAAATTGTGAAGAAGCAAATGTTGAGAAGAGACGAGAAACCTTTGTTGAAACTCGCCCTGTTTAAAAATCGAGTTTTGCGGGGCCTCGATGCCACAACACTGAGTATCATTTGGGTCCTTCTCTCCCCTATGGTAGTGTGCGCCAATGAATTAATCTGTGCCGACATTTTTGACGCGGAAAACATTAGTTTCATTCAGTCCGGGGATGTGCGTGTGGGGTTCAAGCGGGGTCAACAAAAAGAAATAATTCTCTCTTGTGGTAGCGCCGTTGGATTACAGAGCTTTGCGCCGTCTGAAATGCCCCGTGGTCGTGGAGAAGGGCATACGGCAGCCGTGGCTGTCACCTTTTCTCAATTATGGAGCGTTGGACGGAAGGCGTTCTCGGAAATGGTGAGCGAAAGGGAGTGGGGAAAATGTGCGGCAATTGCTCTGAGGACGATACATTTTCATGTAGACGATGAGATGCTGAGAAAGGTTGCGATATTCTCATTACTTCCCAGATCCAAGATTATGGCGCTTGCAAAACGGGCGGAATTACGCTTCGTTCGCGGTGATGAATATATACTGCCCCCTTGGAGGCGACCACAAGAAGCCATCGTGATCTTGGTAGGCACCGTGTATTTTACGCAGAAGACTCCTGCCGAGGAAGCATTGAATAATGGGAAAACGGACAGAATTAGAATTCCTTGTGGCTATCCTGTGGCATTTGCCGAGTGTGTTGCGGGAATGCCATTGAAGTCCGGCGTGTTTGCCGCGACAGGTGCTCTCATCGTTAGCCTAACGCGTCGCGCCATGTTGGAGAGTCTCTCGGAAAATGGCGCCGGAAATGACATTGAGCCCGTGGTTTTGGAAGCAGCGATGAATCAATTAAATGTCTCGCCCTCCTCTCGCAGTGCGACGCGCAATGCTAATAAGGCCCAGGAAGAGGCTTTGCAAGACATGCGGAATTATTCACGGCCGCAAAATGGCAACCTGCCGTCATGGAAGAACGAGCTCCAGGACCTGTGCTCTCCCAATGATGATGTAGGTGAAATGATTGAGCTACATACCCAGGTGCTATCAACCCTCGCCCTGCAGGTGCATAACCTCCGCCCAAGCATGTGGAAGGCAGGTCGTGTGGGAGTTCACTACGACAATGCGTCCCGCATCGCTATGAAGAAAATACCGAACAACGAGTCGCCAAGTTGTCACCGATCACGATCCTGTTTTACTATTGACAAAAAAGGCCGTGTTATGTTTTGCAGCAAAGGAGCTATCGCAGAGAGGAAAAAGATGGGCCGTGTGCAGCCAAATGATGTGCTAAGCGGGACGGAAGGAAATAGGGAAATCCCAAGACAGGCGTTGCCAATTTGTTTGCCAGTCAAGAATGGTCTTTCAAAACCATCCCAAAAACTTCCGTCCTTTTCAGCCCTGCGATGCGCTCCAAGCGAGAAACTTGCTGCCGTCGTGGGTCATTCTCCTGTGTCTCAGAGGGTGATGGAACTTCGGCGCGAGGGGAAGCGGTTAAAAGATGAAGCCGAAAACAATTATATTTTCCCATTGGATTGTTTTTTGCCCAATCAGCGGCACAATAACCCACACAAACATATATAATGTAATATAGTGGAGAAGATGTAAATGCGTACATGAGAATTAGTGTCTTGTTGCCTTTGTTGTCTCTTCTCGTTTTCTCCCTGAGACTGCAGCTGGATGGCTGTGTGGCTGGAGAACGAGGGCCGAAGTGAGTGGTGGGGGAGAAATGCTTAAGATGGTTTTCCTGCTGGCAAACACTTATCGGCCCCTATCTCTGTCTGCTTGTGTCTCTTTTCCATTGCAGCCTATTGAGCCCCTCTTTTGTTGATTTCTTTGTTGGGGAGGGTTTTTTTTTTGTTAGTGTGAGGAGGCGTGGCGTGTGGGCGAGTCATGCCAAGCCCGCTAACCGTGTACGTGCTTGGCTCCCCGGCCTCGGGAAAAACAAGCCTGCTGCGTCAGCTCTCCTGCATGTGTGAAAATGGCACTCTGCGTACCCGTCCGACCCATGACGCCCCAACGAAGGGACAGGAAGTTTATTCACTTGTCATTCAAGCACCGCAGCCAAAGGCGTTATCCTGCACGGTCGAAATTCGCGAGTTGGGCGGAGAAATGGCACCGGTGTGGGAGAAGTTTATTCAGTCATTTATGAACTCCATAAAAGGCAAGGGCGGTCCCAATTGTGCTCTGATGTTTTTCGTGGATGCATTATCTCCTCACCTGCTCCCTCTGGCCTCTGTCATGCTCAGCCGACTAAAAGGTTCCGATGGGGTTTGTCGGAACTGGCCGACGATGGTGCTGCTGAGCAAGGCCCTTGCAATGAACGCCATGACGGAGGAAGAGTTGTGGTTTTTTCTCCCAGCAGATAACTGCAAAAATATCCAGGTGTTTTCCGTCGATTCTTGGAATGGGCTTGGGCTTGGCGATGTGCTGGCATGGCTTAGCGGCGTGGCGTCCTCGTGCTAGGGTTCTTTAGACGAACTTGGAGGGACCAAACGGAAGGAAAATATGTGTATACGGAGGGATCTCCGCCTATATGACTGTATGAATTACAGGCCTTACTTTTGCTGGCAATAACTTAACTGCTTTTTGAACTCGTGAAAGATTATTGACGTGAGGGTGTGAGGGTTCGTTGGGTGGATCCTATATTCTGTCGGGCTCTCTACTCACTCACGACAGAAATGAGAGGAGGCGAGTTGTCGAAAGGTGGGATTGTGTCTGCGTTGTTTGTTGCCTGTCTCTTGTTGGCGCCACTCGCTTTTAACGACGCATGAAGAAGCCGGTTGGAAGTTTTCTTTGTATTCCCTGGCAACACTGTGTGACCTAGGACCCATTCTGTTATTCCTTTCCCTTTTTTTTTTTTTTTTTTTTTTTAGGGATAGTGTCAGAACTTTTTTTCTTTCCGTGCTTGCTGTCTCCCACCAGCGGCAGCATTTCTCCGCAGAAAGACGACTGCGGAGGAGGAGACATCACCAGACTGACGGAAAAAAAAAACGATAGAAAAAAGGGGGCGTGGTGGGGGAAAATATGCATGGGAAGGAGCATCGCCCACGCGGGTGTTCTTTTGACGGGCCCCTTTACGACATCTCTGGA